AAAAAATTGGCGAGCGCTACCGCGCGGCACATAGCCGAGTTTGTTTGGGGTAAGGCGGTTAAAAAAATTGGCCGGCGCTACCACAACCGCAACAACCGAGTTTGTCGGGAGGAGGTCAGGGAGGAGTCGGAGGCGGAGGCAGCAGCCGATTGGGAAATCAAGCGAACATTCCTTTATGTGTGTGTGTGGTGAGTTTGGATCAATGCTTGAGGAGGAGCAAGGAAGGTGAGCAGGGAGAGCCAGAAGGGAAGGGCTTGGGCTGTTGGGCTTGAAGGGAGGGATGGACGGAGGGGAGGGAGTGAGGGAGGAGTCCGGGAGAAGGGAGGGAGGGAGGGAGGGAGCTCGGAGGGAGGGGGAGGGGGAGGGCGGGGGGAGGGAGGGCGGGATCCGGGAGAGGGGTATTCTCTTACGCCAGAATCGGCTTTTCTATGTTGTGTGAGTTGTGCACATGTCTCGGCAGTGTGGCAATGATTGAGCACTTACATGCAGGCTTTGTTCGTTCTTTGGAACGCGAGAGTAGGAGCCAGTAGGAGCCTGTAATCTTATGCCAGCTCAGCAACATGCGGGCCGTTCTTTTGCATGCAGAGGATTGAAGTATGCTCACTTTGTTGTATAAGCTTCCAACTTCCGACACAGTAGTCCGTTGGTGTGCACTGTGCCCACCGGATTCAATGGCTCACTCTGCTGGCTCGGCTGAGCAGAGCCAGAAGCGCCGGCGCCAGCTTGCTCGCGTGACTTCCATTGACAGCTGTGCTGACCCAGAAGTGAGTGTGGAGCATTGTGCACCAGGTGTGCGCAATGCTGAGGACCTTGCACATTGGCCCTTGGACGTTGTCAGGTCTGTTTGCCGCCCTGAAGATGATGAGCTGACTTTGCGCCTCATGCACCGCTTGAGGTGTGGAATTCAGCTTAGCAGTGATTACTCCGGGCTCGATGCCCCACGTGAGTGCCTAGAGATGGGTGTGCAAGCCTTGCAACACGAGCTGCAGATTGAGGGAGGGCTTCTTGATGCAGTGTTGGTCACTCGCACATGCGACAAGGCTGCCTTGCCAACGAGGGTTCAGGTTGAAATGTCTCGCTTTTGGGAGCAGGGCCGGCGATGCCATTTCCAGGACATTTTGGATCGCTTGCCAGAGCAAGGACGGGAGTACATCAATGCAGCCAAGCCCGAAAAGTCGGCCAGGAAGCAAGCTCGGATGGATGCATATGCAGCCATCACAGATTGGGTGATGAAGAACCGTTCGTGGCTCTTCAGTGTGGATGCCGAGAGCTATTGTGCTGTGCATGAGCGGTAGGAGCCTGAGCTTCCTTAGCCGATTTAGTTCCCTAGAAAGACTGGGAGGGAGGGAGAGAGAGAGAGAGAGAGAAGCTGTAACCACCTTTCCAAAGCAACGACGTGCATATTTGGAGCTAGAGACACTAGTCACTAGGGACGAGCTTCGTGTCCGATGTGGTGCTTCAAGTTTGATGTAGAGTTTAGAGCAGGTTCTATTGAGCGCTTGTTCGTGAGTTAGTGATGTGGCCGGTTGCTGCTGCTGTAGATTGTAGACCTACGTCCAGGTGTAGTGAATGCTAGGTAACAACACTAGAGCAGTGGACTGCTGTGCATGCATGCCAGGTAGGCAACTTGTTGTGCATTAGGATTGCCTCTAGAGTCTTGAGTCCTTAACATCTATCCTAAGGCAGTGCAAGGTTCACAAGACACTGGCTGTGCCAGATGGACGTCAGAGCTCTGGGAACCAGAGCTTGCGCATCAATGTTGCCGGCGTGACATGCCACGCATGGAGTACAGAGGGAAGCTTGGAGGGCAACGCTCACGAGTCCGAGGTGCCACTGTCGGTGTGGCTTGCCGAGCGTGTCTTCATGTTCGAGAATGACATGGAAGATGCATGCTTCTTAGAGTGCACTCCCAGGTTTCCAGCCCAGCGCAGGCTGGAAGATGCTTTCGGGGACGTTGCTTTCGTGTTCTCCTGGGTGGATGCTGCTGAGTGGCATGGGTGGCCGAATCGTCGCAAAAGGATCCTAGCCTGTGCTGTGAACAAGAGAACTGCTGTGTGGCATGGAGACGGGTCCGTGCTAGAGCTGCAGAAAGATTACAGCAAGCGCTTCTATCGGCAAATGGCTGCCACCGGTGAGTTGCTGTTTCAAGCTACAACTGAAGACCGCCTGCAGGAAATGGTGGGGCTCGCTGTGGCCCGCAAGAACAATGTCAGCCTTGCTGAGATGCAGCAGCACTTGGCTGCCAGGGATGCGCCGAAGGTTTTCAGTTTGCTTCTGCCGCCTGGTGGAATCGTGCGAATGAAGGACTGGATGCAGCTGTTTCAGGATAAGAAGAGAGAGTGTCCAGAGCTGCGTGCTTTCCTCTGCGATGTCGATCACATCGTTGGTGGCAAGGGACACTAGGCTGCAGATTCCATCTCGTGCCGAGTTGTGTCGTCGTTCAAGCCTTCACTGCCTTCTTGATGTTTGCTTCGGATGCACTGATCGATAGTGGAATGCAAGTTGCAAGACGGTTGCTGTCCACATGAGCTGAGTGCGGTTTTTGTGGTGTCATGTGCGTACCAATGGCCCCAACCAGTCAGGTCCATGTGGTGGGGAGCTGTGGCCTACGCAGCTGACCCATGGACATGTGATGGCATTCTCCCTTGGGGAGACTGAGGAGCAGGGGGTCTCCTTTGTGCTTGCAACTGCCCAAGAGCATCTGTTGGCCCTGGGTTGGAGAACCTTCGGTGTTTCGAGTATCATTCCGAAGTCGAAGCTATGTGCTGTGATCGACAACTTGAAGCTTTCTTCCTCGCACATTAAGCAACTGGCAGGCAACTCCATGAACTTGCGCACCCAGCTTGCCTTCATGCTGTATGCAATCGCCAATGTGTCCAGGAAGAAGCTTGAGGACCCTCGCATGTCGCGAATGTCTTCTTGGTGCGAGTTCGATGAGGCCGAAGTAGAGGATAGCCAGTCGTAGATCTGTGTGGCAGCGATATGAGAATGCAAGCCGCCTTAGCAACAGCTTGAGTTGAGTTTGAGCAGTTTGTTGGTTTGAGAGTCTGGCTTGTATATCAAGGGCTGCCTTTTCCGATCGTGAGGTGCATCAGAAGCATGTTAGCCTCTGAATCATGCAGAGCCTCCGGCTCTAACTGTGATTGTGCTGTGCAAGAGGCTTGGGCTATGTGGTTGTCAGCAAGGAAGTGCAACTAATCGTCCTGACGACTTCTACTTATGCTGTGGTTTCTGTGTTCGAAGCAGTGACAATACTCTTGCATTGAGCCTACTTGGGGTTTTTCAACTGGTGGCAGACTCGGGACGTCTCGTGAAAGGTGCAGCATGAACTGTCCAAGCATGTGCTGATTCTTGACTCAGGCAACATGTCAAGACAAGCGAGAGCAATCCGTTTCAGTCCGAGATTGACATTGCAGTGCAGATTGCTAGCCAGTTCGTCACATGCTTGCCGATTGAAAATTTCTTGCAATCAAGTCTTTCATTGTGATGTGCAGTGCTGTGCTGTGTACTGTGCAGAGACTGTTCTGTGCAGGGGTCGTTTCTCCTGCCGGGCCATGTCAGAGCCAGAAGGGGCAGATGACCCCTTCGACGATGCAAACCAGTTGGAGGTAGAGGAGCAACAAGAACATGATGGACAGGCAGCAGAGGAAGGAGCAAGCCGTGGCCGGGGCCGGGGCCGGGGCAGAGCAAAGGGCAAAGCAGCACCAAAGAGGGGGGGGCGAGCCGGGCGGGCGGGAGTGCAACAAGGTCACTTGAAGGACAAGGACAAGAATAAGAAGTGTTTCAAGGCCACATGTCAGGAGAAGGCCAAGGCCCATTCGAAGTGGTGTGTGAAGCATTCTAAAGACACGGAGGCAATGAAGTACCAAGCCAAGTCCCAACAGGACAACGGTAAAACTTTGCAAATGTTGGAGACTGCTTTGGGTGATCCAAACAAAGCCGATCTTGCCTTGGATGAGTTCGACCGGCACAACCCTCAGGGACGTTTTCGCAAGAACCTGATCGACTGGAGCGCGTTCGAGCGGAAGTTCGGCAGGCGATCGGAGGTTCGCAATCGGTGCGCGGAGGAGCTCATGGATGTGACCGACTATGTAAAGCACAAGAAAGATCGCGGGGTAAGTGAAGACAAAGCCTTGTTGGATTGGAAAGAGCTTCTTGAGACTGATGTCGATCGTGAGGGAGAGGGCACCGATGTGAAGGTGTGGGTCGCCGTGAACAAGAAGCGCTTCAGGGATGATATTTCATACCGTGACCACTCTCTCAACGAAGGGTCCAAGCAGACCAAGGGCATGAACAGTACTGACAGGCACATGCCGATTTGCTGTGTGTGCGTCTTTTTCCTTCAGTGAAACAGATTGTTGATTCGTGTCAATCCTGTTGATTCAGAGCGAATCAACACAATCATGTCCTGTGTTAGTCAAAGGGCATGGGGGCAGTTTTTGCAAACACCAATGACAAGGCAGCCTTCTTGGTGTTGTTACAGTTTGTGAGACACTCTGTAGAGTTGCAAAGCCAATCTTAAAACACATGTTCTAACATTGTCGGCTTTGCATCCACGGCAGGCAGAACCTGCTCGACCACGTTTCCAATCAAGGAAACAACTTTGCTGACCCGTGGCTTCAGCAAGGCCTTCGCCAGCGAGTCGATGCTCCAGCTGCAGGCAGCAGCAGCACGAGCGGTGCAAATGCGGAACCGGCAACGCCACCAGGCCAGCAGTTGCTATGCGGTGAACGTAAATCTAAACTTCTAAACTCGCTGGCTGCATTCGAATTACTAATGGAATTAGGGACAGCCTTTGTGGACTCTGTGCATAGTACAATGTACAATTGCAGTTGCTTGCTGGTGATGTTGAGTGGTACCGTTGTTCATGTTCATGCAAGTCCTGCGAGGTCCGAGGGTGGAGATCGCCATCGCGGCCCCGAAAGCTCTTGAGAAGAATGAGAAGATCCTGATAACTTGCCAGAAGGGTGTGACAGATGCTCGCAAAGCCTTGGTTGATGCATTGAAGCTTGCAGGGGAGGATCAGAGTGCAGACCAATTGCAGAAGGCCTATGAGAGCAATTGTGTTGTGCGCTTGCAGATGTTAGACATCTGGGCAGCTCCTTCGCTCGCCCAGATCCCGAAGCAGAGGCCGCTGCCGTCCCAAGCGATGTTTGCTCCTGGGGCAGATCAGACAACAGCTCCTGGAACTCCGCAGCCCCAAGAAGCAGCAAAGCAGCAACCAGATGCAGTCGGTGTGGCCACGGAAGACACAAGTCCGGAAGCTGTTTTGCAAAAGGCTGCTGAGGCTTTCAGGTCTGCAACTCCTGCAAAGACCGATGCCAAAGATGAAAAGGCCCAAGGTGGCGGCGATGCGGCCACACCCACGCCCAAGGCCCCCAAGGACAAGGATGCTGTCAACAACGAGGGCAACGATCAGAAGTCTGAGGCTCCATCTCAGTCGACTCCTGGTGGCACCGCGGCCAAGCTCAGTAGCTATTTGCGGAAGGAGATTGGGAATGCAGGGAGCAAGGCTCAGCATGTGGACCCGCTTGGCAACCTCATGGCTATGGCTCACATGGAGGAGCTGTTGCAGAGCTTCATGGCTTGCGATTCCATTGATGCATTGAACAAGGCAGTGAGTGATCTCAAAAATGCAGCTGTTGTTGTGAGACAGCTGAAGGAAGGGGCCACAAAAGCAGCTGCCAGCCTGAGGGGCCATATCCTCAACCGGCAAAGGGCCCAGCAGCGCAAGAAGCAGCAAGAATCCAAGCAAGTCGAAAACCAGGAGGTCTTGAAGAAGAAGAAGGAAGCAAAGACTGCTGCCGAGGAGATTAAGAAGCAAGAGGCGACCGCACCGCCTCTGTTTCAGCACAACTGGACCGACTTGCAGGGATCAGATGGGGCCCAGCTCGCCACGATGATCCAGAAAAACACCGGCCCCGCGAACAAGTCCATCAATTCGTTCGATGCCCCGTGCCTCATTTGCAACTGCAGCTTCCTTGCGGACTTCCAGAAGAACTCCAAGGCCTTTAGCCAGCATGATTTTTCAGTTCAGGCACAGAGGCATTGAGGTCGAAGTCAGATTGATGATTGCATGTGTTTCGGGTAAATCTCTGGTGGTCGGTTAGACAGATGTGGGTTTTAGGTTTAAGTTGTGGCTCTGACGATTGTTGCAACGCGTGTCAGTGTCAGGTGATGCTGATGTTGGGCGGCTTCGGTGGGTCTTACAAGAAGAACACCACCCTCAAGACCGTCGGAAAATGTCAAGAGATGGTCTACAAAAACTCCGGACTCGAGGAGTGCATGGAGCTCTGGACCAAGACGGAGGCTTTGTTCCACCATGATTTCGTTGCATGCAGCGATAAAATGGAGAAGTACCTCACTGCAGTGCTGAAGGCCAGTTGGCTCTTCGGCTATGACAGTCAGGGCACGTTTGTGGGAACAATGCCGAATGGATTGGCCAGCCTGCGCATGCTTTGCTCCGGCGAGGTTCTCCTTGTGATGTTCGAGTTGCGCCAATTGCTTCCGGCCATGAAGATTCTCCTGGGCAAGGATGATGTTGGTGGCATGGAAGGGGTGAACACCTTCCTGAAGAACCTCTCCGTGGAGGAGATTGCCAAGTTGAAGAACAATGGATGCCACGCCTCTTACATCGTGCACCAGGAAGGCCAGATCGTCTACATTCCCGTTGGCTATGTTGTGGCTGAGAAGTGTATGAAAGGCGTTCTTGTGTATGGCTTGAGAAAGACTGTGATGCCTGCAACAGCCATGGCATCTGAGAACTATTCGCTTCTCACCGGCCTCTTCGAGGAGAGTAAGAAGCCGGTTGATAAGATGAAGGCTACCTTGCCTTATCTCAATCCGGATGCAGACTAAAGTCAGCGGTCGTTGCAGCTCCCACATCGATGTATGAGGGTGCCTGCGGCCATGGACGAGTTTTTGGAGCAAAGCATGGTGGGAGTACAGAAAAACCTACCTGTGCAGTGCAGTGCAATGGTTCTCGGCATCTGCTGATCTGTGACAGCAGAGCGTTCAAAAGTGCATGAGTTCATGTGTGTGTGTGTGTGTCTCTCTCTCTCTCTCTCTCTCTCTCTCTCTCCCTCCCTCTCTCTGTGAGTGTGTCTGTGTGTGTGTGTGCTGCTGCAGTTTCCTGCCAATCCCATTCCTGCATCAGTCTTGCGATGATCATTCGTTCCATTGTTATTGGCCGCATGCGTCCAAGGAATGCTGGTTCGTTGAACTATATACATTCATTTATCGATTGTTATGTGGACAGAGTCTTACTGACAGAACACGTTGCCAGTCACATATGGTTCGATTTTGAGGCCATTCGAGGCCTCAGGTTGTATGTTGCAAGTTCGTGCACGCAAGAAAGCGAGCATCCACCACAAACATTTCGAGCTTGTTTCAGGGCGTTGAAGTTGGCTGATTTTTGGTACCGTGACACATAGCTCGGACCAACGTTGGAATTTACGTGCTAAGGCCTGTGACTGCTGCCTAAACGGCTTGTGAAACCCATGTGTTTTTTCAGTTGCCAAATCAAGTTGTTTTGAAGCGGTTTGCAATGCGCAGTGCTTGAATTTATTTTTTTCGATATGTATTAGAAGATACCCACGACATCTCATTGATCAGTCGAAACCTCAATCGCTGCCACCTCATTCCCGGGACTTGCGCGGAGTTGCCGGGAGTTGCCGGGAGTTGCCCGGAGTAGCAAAGGCCAAAGGGAATCCACGCAAGTAAGCACGCAGGGGTGACAAACACATGCCGCTTCATCCGGTTATAGCGTTGGCAAAGAGCTTGCCGCATCCGCTGCACCAAGCCTGCTGACACCCCCGTGTCGTCTCGGTGGCACGGGTACGATACCCGTGAACCTTGCTGGCATGACATGCCCAGGACACACGATCAGCGAAGGCCTTGCGGCACAATAGGCAAGCTTCGGTAGGACGCTGTCGTTCCAAGCATAGGGCATCACCTTCCCCAAGGCAGAAGTGAGAAAGGAAGCGGTGGCAAGCCTGTAAGGCAGCATGAGATGTGAGCCGAAGCAACTCAAGTGCCGCGGCGCGCTTGATCCAGCCACGGAAACGCCCGGGAGTGCGGCACATAATGCCCGTCCAGGCATGCCAATCACAAGCAGGTTCACCAAGGGGGATGGTAGCTGACAACCGACGGTGCAACCACTCCATGGCATCCCTGATTTCGGCAAGAAAAGAAGGGCTGGATCTTACGAGGGCCCACAGGGCATCAGGCGCAGCTTGAACCATTTGGCGTAGATATCGCAGGCGTTCAACGCGGAGCACTGTAGCAGGGTCGGGCAGGTGCAGAAGCGCGCACATGGTGGCCCCCGTGATGTGTTGGTCTTCAGTCCGAGGGATACACAGGGTCTGCCGGTACATGGACACGAGAGTTCTGTGGAAAAGGGTGCGCTCTCCTTGCCGCAGGGATGGCCATGCTCCAGCCCCAAAAAGGAGTCTCGGGAGCACCATGGCACGGAGGAGTGCTCCCCTTCGGGCCACGGAGATACGGCGACACCGGTAAGCCCGCGCCCGACCTTGACGGAAAGCAGCCCACGCAGAGGCACACCTGGCACGAAGCTCAGTGAGGAAAGACGTACCGACCATAGCACCAAGGTGCTTATATTGGGCCACCAAAGGCAGTGAGGCCGCAGGGTGGTGCTCTCTCATAACCGTGATCACACCGGCTCGCCCAAAAAGGGCCCGCTTGGCAGCCTTGGACCCGTGGCCGCCAAGCAGGACCATAGCAGCGGTCTTGGAGGTACCGTAGGTAAGAGTGTACCCGTGGCTACCGAAGGCCTCGTCAAGGAAAGAAGCCTCTAGACCGACCTGGTGTGCAGCACGAGCCGAGTCAGACAACAAGAAGCATGCGGCCAGGTCATCAGCCCAAATGACGTCACTCAGACTTGGCCATTGCGTAGGAGCATCAGCGGGAGAGATGTCCCGTCGGCCATCCCACGGGATGCAGGGAACTTGGCCTGCAGTGGGATCGGCAATGCGAAGGGAGTCTCGCTTCGCAAGGATGCAGCCGACTCCGGCGCTGTACATAATGTCAGCGAGTGATGATCCAGGCCTCGATCCACGGTGGGTGACCACAGGGATGTGGTCGCCACGCAACGCAAACCAAGACCCCCGGTGCATTTCGGCGGCCAGTGATTCGAGCCAGGGAGACGCCCCTTTGGAGCGAAAGGCGCTGCCTGAGGCCAATGTGTCCGTCACAATGGCGTCAGCAGGAAGATTTGCCATGGCAAGAGAATCGACAGGGCGTCCATCCGCATCCAGGCGCTGGGCTGTGATATCACGCACGGAATTATAATAAGCAGAAGCGACGTCTGCGTAGAGGATGCATGCTGGCAGTTTGTGCACCGAGCACCACTGCGCAAAAGCCCTGGTCAGGTGGCTTCCGAAAACCGCCGATGCCCCTTTGCGCCCACCCAGCAACAAGGGGGGGGCATGTGTCACAACGTGCTCGTACAGGCGAGGGCGGAAAGAGCGGTGGATGACTTTAGTCAAAGTCGGCAAAAGCATAATCGCCCTGTAAGAAGTGCAAAGGTTTCGCGCGCCTTTGAACTTGTAGAGCCAGGTTAGAAGAGACCCTTTCAAGCCAGCACCCTCTTCGCCCAAAAGGCCTAACTTCAGGACTAGGGGCAGGATCAAAGAGGAAAGGGCCGAAGGCAGGGCTTTGAAGGCTTCGCCTGGGAGGCCGTCGGGGCCGCTGGCTTTGTTGAGTTGTGTGTGCGCCATGGCCTTACACAGCTCGGCAGGCCCCGGTACCTCAGTGATGTCGTCGGGCAAAGGCCAGGCGAGACCGTGGCGAGCAGCCACAGCCTGGTGGACACCTTCGGCATCCTTCTGCACGCCGGACTCCATGTCCCCGAAGTAAGCTCGCCACCGCTGCATAGCCTCAGCTGGGGTTTCGCAAACCCGGCCATCCGCATCGAGGACTTCCGGCAGCACTTCAGGTGCAAAGGGTTTCTTTTGCTTAAGACTTAAAAGCCGGTTCAAAGCCTGGAAGGATCCTGGGGTGTTGGCCTGCACCTCATCGGCAAGGCTTGACAGGTGTCGCGCCCTATCGATCCGGCAGGCATGTTTAAGCTGCTTGGACAGGTCCCGGAGGGCAGCTCTGTGCCTCTGACCCTGTATTGAGGCTTCGAGGGCCCAGGGTGAGGCGAGGGCACTTTCGAAATCCGTAGCGCCACGGGTCGACCAGGCGCGAAAAGCCGCAGCAAGGAGATGGTACTTCGTGTGGGCCCGAAGCCTGGCACAGCGATGGCGCAGAGTAGCAACCTGCGCATAGAGTGCCCATGTGTCATCGGTGAGGTAATCTCTGCGCTTTCGCTGCTTGGGTTTAGGAAAGGCCTTGGCAAGAGCCTCCTGGAGGTATCCAACAAGCTGGGCCGCGTGGGCATCAGCAGACGCATTCCATGGGGCACGCGGGGCCTTGTCAACGATATCCTGCAGCTTCGGGCGGTTGTTGCGATCATCCAGAGCATGGGCATCGATTCGGGCTGGCTTCTTGGCTCCCAGGCAGCTGCCAGCAAGTCGGAGCCTAGCAGACACACGGACTACTGCCGCGAAGTGGTCGATATAAGGCTGTCCAACATGGATCTCTGGATCGACCCATGATGACACACACGCATTCTCCCAGCAGTCAGGTAGGCAGACAAAGTCAGGGCGCTGTAGTGCATTGTTTCGTTTTTGCACATAGGTCCATGACTGGCCTGAGTGGAAATGGCACCAAGTTGAGGGCAGCCAGCATCGGCAAGTGGTGACAAGCTCAACGAGGAAAGCGCCTGCCACATCTTGTTCCTCAGGCCAGCAATCCCCGATCCTGCCGCAACACTGGGAGCCCACAGCCGCATTGAAATCGCCGCCCAGGACTAGAGGGGCGCGAGCAGCTGCGTGTTTCAGCAGAGCGATCGTCCGCTCCCACCATTCATGTAGCTTATCAGCCTCTGTGCCCCTGTGGGGGGCGTGTAAAGACACAAAGCAGAGTCGGAGTGGTCCACTGTGGAAGTGCAGGATGAGGCGGCGGCTATCGCTATGAGCTGTAGAGAATGCTTCCCGGCAAAACGTGGCAGCATGGTGGCCAGCATCACCGCCGCGCAGCAGGGGGTATCCCTCCTTGAACCAGAGCTCGACGCCGAAACAGCCGACTTCTCCACCGGAAGAGAAACGTAGGTATCCCGATGTGCGCAGAAAACCGGCCTCTGTGCGTGCCTCCTGGATAGCAGCAACCTGGATTCCAGCCTTATCAAGGCTGGTAGCCAGCAAGGCAGGGCGCCCTGCGGCAAAAGCAAGTCCGGCCGGATCCCGATCCTCGAAGGCTCGTCCACTAAGGGAAAGCACATTATAGGTGGCAATGCAAAAGGCAAGCGCGCCGCTACCGGTACCACCTGCAGAAATGGGCTTACGCGGGCAGAAGGGAGCGAGCATTTGCTGAGGCGTCATGCCCAGATCATTTCTGTCGTCTCCAGAAGCACTGCCGAGGGGGGGCATAGCTGGGTCCCCAAGGAGGGCTCTCGCCGCAACGCCGCACCATTCGACACGCGGAGCCCCCGCGGACCACCAGTCGAGAGGATGCGAGCCTCCAGTTTCTTCCCAGGCAAGTTGGCCCATAAGGCGGCCGCGTGAGGCCAGCTTGGCTGCAGCGTCAGCGACCTCATTGCCGAAGAGGCCCTGGTGACCTGGCACATAGTCGAAGACAAGGGGATGTCCCTGGAGGACTTCAAAACAGGCTGCCGTCCGGCGCAGGACGAGGGCTACATCACTAGCATAGGAAGAAGCCTCACCTGCAGCAACCCGAATGGCGGATTGGCAGTCAGAAAGAAAATGGAGCGGTTGTCCATGGAATGCCGTGCATCCTACCCAAGTGGCCGCTGTAAGTGCCATGCATTCGGCCACAAACGCAGAGGGCGCAGCACCGAGATCGGGAAACCAGGGTGGAGCAGGCCCAGACACAATGCTGATGCACAAAAGGCTCACATCAATAAAGACACAAGCCCATCCAAGCAGAGCGCCTTCCAAGTGCGTGGCTGGCGTGTAGGAGCCATCGACATAACAGAGCAGGCCCCGTTCTGTGCCAGGGGCAGGCATCGATGCGCGTAGCGCGTGGGCTCGCCGGGGCGGGAGAGCCTCAAGCAGTTCGCTCAGAGTGCCAAAACAGACAGCAGGCTGAAGGAACAGAGAAACCTGCTCGCATGTAAAGCCCATTGGTGTACCACCTAACAATAGGGGCTGGGGAGACGCAGGGAGCTGGCGAAGCAAACTCCCGAGCTGAAGCGGCGTGGGAGAAACCGGAGGGATGTTGGGAGGCACATGTGGTACGACAGAGTCCAGCGAAAGGACAAGGGTCCGTATAGCGGCAGGGCCAGCACTCACTCCAGCAGAAGTCGGCACTCTGTCGGCGCAATGTTCAACCAAAGTTTCAAGAAGAGTGGCAGCAAGATACAACGGGTAGTCGTTGCTGTCACGACGGCTCTCCTCAAGCAGAGTCCCCAGCGCACCGAGGTCGGTTGGCATCGGGGGCTGCTGTTCGCCGGCAGCAGAGCCGGGATTGCACAAGGCTGGCCCCAGACAGGGGCGAGGGTCTGCCAGCTTTGAACAGGGAACGCAGAGGAGTGGGAAGAGGTCTGCTGTTAGATGGGAGACCATCAGCACAGTGTGAGTGAACAGGATGCTCATGTCGGGCAGGGCCAGTCCCCAGGAGGAGGAGTGGTCCCGAACAGCGGCAAGCTGCATCCCATCAGCAGAGATAGCAAGGTGTACAAGCGCCAGGTAAACTAGAACCGGCTTCCGCAAACACCGGGCAGCATAAGGGACAAACCGGACGGCAAGTCGGATGGCAAGGCCAGCGACCAGAATGCAAATATCAGCACAGGCAGCCCGTAAAAGAAGGCCTGCAAGGCACGACTGCAGGACAGTGTAGCTCCCATGCAAACGGCAGAGAAGGTGCACTGATCCAAAGTGCCATTGGGGGACCGGAGCTACAGGGGTGCAGGCTTGCTTGTCCTCAAGAAGGACACGGTGACTAGTGAAAGCAAGCCCACACATGTTGCCCCAATCCACAGAGCCTCTTTGTTGTCGGCCAGTGGTCCCAAGACACAGGTTGTCTCCTAAACAGCAACGAATGCTGGCAGCCACTTGGTAGTGCGCAGGGGCATCAGCTGGGGATGACGAGCAGGAACTGCCAGTACCAGCATCGGGGCTAGGAGGTGCTTCAGAGGTGGGCCCAAGGCCGGCGCTGGCACCACCGTCTGGGCTCTGGTCTGGAGGCGTGCTATCATGGGGTGGACCGGAGCCGTCATCAGGAGGCCCTTGGTCTCCGGCCGTACCCGGAGGTTGCACTGGCAAGAAGGCGGCGGTAACCACAGCGCCATCTTCGACATGTAGGTCAGGACTTGACATGTCAACCTCCTGCTGACCGTACCAAATATGCGTGCGGAACCCCTGGGGGCATCGGGCATTGGCTCGAGCATAGAGACCCTGAAGGTCAAGACGCCCGCCATGACACGTGATAACATCAAGGCCCCTCAGTATAGGCCGCAGGTCGGTAAAGCAAAACGGGTCCCTAAGTGCCGCATAATGCTGACCATTAGCGGTACGTGCAGCAAATAGAACACTGCAGGTCACCCACCCGCGGTGAGAGAGGTCAACGACACGGGGTTGGGGAGGACGAAGGATGAGCTCGTCAACCGGAATGCGAAGGCGGAAAGCCAAATCCTGGCGAACATATCTTCGCCTTGCCCCTGATACATGGAGCAGAAAAGGGCGGTCCTCATTAAGAACCCAGGTATCGTCGAGGTTCCACCCCGAGAAGGCTCGGATGAAAGTGAGGTCCGGGTTCCACCCACGGTCGGACCGCAGCATGTCAGCAAAAGATGAGACAATAGATGGGCCTCGACCGGCAAATGTAATCTGGACAAGGTCGCCGTGTTTGATATCTACAGGCGTGATGGGGGGAATCGCCCATGGCATCGTGCCAACAAACACGTCAAAGCGCGGGTCATCGGGCAACTCCGCAGCATGTAGGAGCCCAGTGCGTGTAACCCGGCGCCCGATCTGTAAAGCAAACAACCGTCCATCGACACCAGTGAGGTCAAAAGCAACTATGGCACCGTCAGGTGCCCACAATGGGAGGGCCAGAAGGAGCGCTTGTGCACCAAGTGGCTGAGGCTCAACGGCACACAAAATGGGAAATCTCTCGCGATCCTGGTTGTTGCGTGCTTGGGTCACGTAAAGAAGCGCAACCGCCGGTTGAGTAGCAACGCGTATCCGCGCTTCGATGAGCTCAGTGGTATAGTCCTGGGCAAGGATCAAGAAGACACCAGGCACAACGGTGTCCGTGGCAGTGGAGCTTTCAGGGTGTGCTCGGCTGGCATCATCATCCCGGTGTTGCACGGTGGCTCCCCATCGCTCCCTTGCGCCCCTTGCCCAGGTGTTGCGCTGGGCACGCTTGCAGAACTCTGTGCGCCTGTCGCGCCACTATGCGCAGCATCGGTGGCACCCTGTGCTTCCCCGTAAGTAGCAAAAGGTGCCTCGGCAGGGATAGGGGCGGGCACATAGTCCACAATAATGACAGAACCTGCATCAAAGGTTGAGCGGCCGTCGGGGTGGTGCTCACTACTGAAGTGCGGCATCCACCCTTGCGGCGTATCAGCCTGGAAAATCCGTCCAAGGCTGTGAAGGTCGGGGCTTCCACCTTGCAGGAGCATGAACGCAAAGCCTTCCTGAATCGGCCGCAGATCAAGGAAAAAGCCCTCGGGCTCGTGGCCTAGATCCGTATGACTGTGGCAGCAGGCGGCTAAAAGTGTTCGACACCGAATCCCCTCGACAGCTATGTTGTCAGGAGCTCTACGGGCATGACAAATGCTGAGTCTCCTGTCATCGACTCCGATCCTGCGTGCCAGGTTGATCCTGAACCGAAAGGGGTTCCTATAGTTTTCGATATGGAGAACAAAACGGCTCTCATGCACGACACAGTACGCATGGTCGATGACAACCTGGGGGAAAGGTGTGTCGTGGCTCCAAGCATCTGGCAGCAGTAGGGTCCGCGCAAAGGGCAGACCGACTACAGGTTGCTGGTCAGCAAAGGTAAAAGAGATCTGGATGCCCGGGAAAAGATGTGCCTGTACACCGTCGTCCAGGGGCTGGTCGTCGTCGCCTGCAAAAATGTGGTAATCCCCTTGTGGTGGTAAGTCAGCCAATGCAATAAGGACTTCGCAATCAGCGTAGTCGGGGGCATGGCAGGCAAAGACGCGACCATCTGTGTCGGACGTGTTGATCAGGACCGTCACAATCATTGGCGCCCATCTCGGGGCTGCAAGAACAACTGCGTGTCCTACCACAGACTGTGGTGATGCAGGGGTGAGAAAGGGGAAGCGGATAGATGACGCGGTTGGGCGAACAGCTTGGATAGCCTCAATTGCTTCATCTGGCGTGCAAGGTAACTCAAGGTCGAGTTAGGAATAAGCACCGCAAAAGACACTCGCACAGGTCTAGCCGTGGCAGGCTCATTGGGTTCATCAAGGTCTGGCTCGAAGAGAGCTGCCAGGTTGGCCGGAAAGAAGGGCCAAGCGACCCCAAGGTTCCTGGTTGCAGTACGCAGGGATGCAAGGGCCCAGTCGACAGATGGCCCTGCACAGCACGGCTCACACAGGAGCTTATAAAGGATCACTGGCAAGCTGGCAGCGAGAAAATGATGCAACAGGCGGGCACATGTGTCAACACAGAACAGTGAACCTGCATCGCGGGCGATGGCGTCTTCAGTGGGCAAAACCACACTCGCAGTCAGCACAGGGGAAGCAGACAGCATGACGCACAAAAGTCCGCAAGGGGACGCAGCTCGGAGTGCAAGGGACAACCCAAGGGCCGTAAGGACGTCTGTTGGGTCGTGGAGTGGCTCGTGAGGTCCGGGTGGGGGAGGGCCAGCAGGCGGGTTTCCCCCCCCCCCCCATCTTGACTTGCCTGGCTGTTGTCGGAGCTGGTCTCCCAAATGCCATCGGAGTACTCTTCTGAGTCGGTCGCTGACCTGTCCGAGTGCGCAAACCTGTGTGCCTGTACTGCGGTCCCTGGCGGGATTGGTACGCATGCAACAGTGACACGGGAGCCATCGACGACTCTTAGTACACATCCGGGCCTGGAAAAGATACGCGGAGCACCATCCGCAATCAGCTGAAAACCCCTAGGACAAGGGTAGTCAAGGTCATCCGCAAAATTTTCGAGGGAGAAGAGCCCACTGGGCGCCAGCACCCAGGTAATGCCAAGCTGCAGTGGCCGTAGATCTACAATGACGATACAAGAGCTGGGCTCAGCGTCAAGGGGCTGCAGGATCCTCTGGGAGACCACAAGAACGGCCGAAGCAGCAGTGCCCCTGGAGCAGAAATTTCGTATCTGCGGGCTGGGCGGAACAGTAAAAAGGCGCGCTCTATCATATCTGAGTGCGGCGGCAAGCTGTGATCTTGGAATGCGCGCGGCACCAATAGGAATCGCATAGAAGGACGGCCCTTCGTCTGTCAACAACCAAACTCCAGGGTCTGATGCAAATGGCACCTCAGCACGAGCATTCCAAGTGTCGGGTCTGCGTAGCATATCGGCCAGAGGTGCCAGGCGTGGGGGTGCGATACCGCGTGGTGCTAGGGAGACCAAGGAGCCCGTAAAGAGCCCTGCACGCTGGTGGTCCGGCAAGGGGCCACGCACGGAGGGGACCCAGACGTCTAAATCAACCCGATGGGCATACCCAGCGATTGCTAGAAGCTCGCTTCGATATGCCTCAGAGTCGGCGTGTCCAGCGAAAACATATCCTCCCACAGCCCGACAGTCAAAGACAATATCGCAGAAAGGGCCTGGCAACCCTGTGAACCCTAGCAGAACAGCAAATTGCGAACAAGGCTGTGGCTCGATGGCAAGCAGTCGAGGGAAGTGGCGCCGAACATCTGGTAAGCGTAGTGCTTGCACTTCCCTAATGACAAGGAAGTAGTCAACTGGCTGCCAGAAAGTTAGCGGGATGACCTCAGGCCGGTAGTCCTCGCAGAGCACAACAAAGAGAGCTCGCAGGGGGACCGGTGCAGGTGGGTTGTCAATAAACTCGGGGGCAGCAATCGTCAAGTCGGGCGGCTGCCACCGTGTTGGTGAACGGTCACTGAAATCACGTAGTTCGGGCAGCTGTGTCGGCCCGTCACCGTGACTGCTGCCACTAACAAGGGCGTGCAGGGAGGGTGTATCCCCAAGTTTGACCGCAAGCACTGGTGGGCAAACGGAGGTGCACAGCTTAGGGCCCCTAAGAAGGAAACCCAATATCCGCGGCCCATCTCGTATGCAAGACACCGGCTGCACAGGAGCTGCAGCCTCAAGCAGCAGGTGGGAAGAAGCATTTTTGGCAGCGCAGAGAGTGCTGTTGCAGGTATCGGAGGGGGCCACAGGAGGGAGGTGGCTCTGGTAAGAACTGTCCCCACTGGCCTTTGAGGGAGAGGCCCCGCGATGTCGTGATCGAGATCTTGTCGAGTCATCTGAGGGACCTCCATGTGACGAATCAAAAGGGTCATCTGATCCGTCTGGTTCCGACTCGAGAGCTTCGAAGGGGTCATCTTCTCGAGGCAGGAAAGCCAAAGTAAGAACCTCACCCCCGCGGAACTCAATTCCGTTGTCCCGCAAAAGCCCGCCCATGACAGCGAGCCTGTGGCCCGGCGGCGGCTGACACTGCACACGGCCACGAAGGAATTCGGGTGAGACATAATAACGGTCCATGACGCAAAAGTTTACGTCTTGCCCGATTGGCCGACCGTCGAGGAAGAAGACCGCTGGCAGTGGCCTGTTCTGCTGATCTCGGGTGGAACTGCGCCCTAAGACTGCAATAATTCCACGCACATGAGTCCCGTGATAGACGTAGGAGGCAAGGCCAGCGGCCGAGACGAGTCTAGATTCAGACATCTCGACTCCCACGAAGTGTGTCACACGAAGAGCATTCTGCCAGTCACACTGCACGAAGTCGCTGAACAAGAACTTTCCGGACTCATGCAGGATGAGGACACACAGGGCCCTGGCTGTGGAAGGGATGGGGTCTATGCTGAGCCATGGCGTGGGCCTTTGCAGGGACCTTGAAAGCAAAGGACCCCACAAGGGTAGGTGACGCAGGGGTGCAAAGCAAAGCGTGTCTCCTTCTTCAACATGCACAATTTGACCCCTTTGGAGTGGCTGCAAACGCCCTGCGAGAAACACTTCAAAAGGCTCGATGACCGTAGGTCCAGCAACCCGTTGGATTGCTTCCAGGCTTGTCTGTCGGGGCAGCACATCAGCAAATATTTTACCCGTCATGGCCCGGACATCGAAGAGCACAGCTGAGAGGCCTGCCTGCTGAAACCAATGTGGGACGACAAGCAAGGTGGCTGCACTGTCACCAAGCTGCGGCGTGGCTGGGACGAGCTTGTTCCAACAAGCATCGAGCGGAACTGGTGCAGCTTCGTACACTTTATCCATAAAGGATTCTAGGGAAGCAGGGAGGTCAAGGATGATCTCAGTCGTGACCAACCTATGGCCTGGGGGGCACAGCGTAACTCGCGCTGGAACCTTGACTCCAGGCGAGAGAACACATAGTCCGCGTTGTGCCTGAAGACAACAAGAGGCACCCTTTGAGGCAATGTCGGCTTCCACTGAGGCTCGGTATTCAGAGGTCGTCATATCCGCCGGTAAGCAGGCCTGAGGCTCAGAGGGGGGCTTGGGGCTATCATCACTAGGGGGGGGCAGTGCATCTGTATCTGGGCCGGAGGCCTCACACGGATGTGTGCTTGGTGTACTGCGCCCTACTCCCTGGTCAGAGCCCGTGGCCCCTCCGCTAACCGCATTAGGCTCGCCTGGGTCAGGCGTTAGCACTGCATATGCCTTGGTGAGAGCTGAAGCGAGCTCAAGGGGTACAGCCCAGACCTGTATAGGCATAACCCCTAGCCAAAGCAGAAGCCTAGCCCACAAGGGAACACAAAAAGTATGCCGACGGTTGGGGCGCCTGTGTCGCTGCATGGCCTTGTCAGCATGGCGGGGGCTGCCGATGTATCCCCAAGGCAGAGCCATACCGGCGGGAACAAAGGCGCACGGAACACTGAGCAGGCTCAACAAAGGGGAGCGTCCGCCAGGTATCGCAAAAAGGACAAGTCGCCAAAGAGCCAACAAGTGTAGAGCGGCCAAGGCAAGCAAAAAGGCCGCAGCGAGGTGTCCGCCCCACAAAACAAGCGAAAGACGCCCAGGAAGGCTGGTATGAAGAAAACTGCTGGCAGGAGGAGACCCCAGAGCCACCGATGTCTCTCTTTGGCCCCTGCCGCAGTAAAAGAGGGTGACCCTCCAATTGTCAGAAAGACCTGTGACCTGAATTGGGGACAGGCTCCACCCGCCAGAGGCCAAATCGGAAACCTCAAAATCGCTCACAGAGAGAGAAATCGCAGGGATTTCCAACTGGAGCATTGCAGGGAAAGGGGGCGGGCGAGGAGGAGGTCCCAGAGCCACCGATACCTCTCTTAGGCCCCTGGCCCTAACACCCCAATCCTTATCAGTCAGGCCCCTGCGTACAGGCAAAGGGCACCTGAAGCATGAAAAGAGGCCTCGTGCATCTGCCCCTGCAAAACTGGAAAAGGGCGGAGGACGGCAGCAAAGGTCAAAAAGGGAGCACTCACAGGGGCGCGCCGGAAAACCGGAGGCAGATGACACAGCGAGGACTGGCATTGGAGGGTATTGCATGAAGTACCTGCGTAAGTCCAGCAGGGAGGCCCGCGACCTCAGCACACTAAGTGAGGAATGTAGGCAGGGCTGGATGCAAAGGGAGAGTCCAAAGCGAAGGCCAGGAGAAGGGGAAGGATCAGGCCTCGCGAGCAAGGTGGCCAAGAAAGAGAAAAACTGTACAGCCCACTGTACAGAATCAGTACTGCTGACCTCGGGTTGCTCCAACCAGGAATAGGAACCCCGTGGTTCACTGCCATCGCCGCCACATCCGCAGACATGCATTCCCAAATGCAGTCCGGGGAAGGGCAGGTCAGGGAAGTGCCGCGGAGAGCCCTTTCCTGGGGGAGCAGCCACTAACTGAGAGCCTCGTTCCCATAGGTGTCGGCGAGCTCGTCGTCGTTGTCGTCTTCCACTATACGAACTGACCGGCCGGCGGCAATCGCAGCTTGAGCGGCCTCCAGGCTCAAACCGCGATCTGCAACCGCCCCGCCACCTGCCTCTCCAGCTGCCCTGGCTCCTCCAAAGGGCTCCAAAGCCCGTCGTCGGTGTACTCGGTCGCTCAAAGTCGGGCTTGGTCCGAATCCTCCGTCCGAGGCTGGGGCCGCAGCCGGCGCGCCGGAGTGTAGAAGGGCCACAGGGACCAGCGAAGGAGGCGTAGTCACATGTGCTGTCCCAGCAGGTGGCATGGAAGAGGTCGTTGTCGGGGCCAGCGGGGCTTGTGGTGTTCCCGGGTTCGGCGTAAGGCCAGGAGGCGCGGTCACCGGTGACATAGTAGCCAAATATGGGTCCACTGCAGCAGGTGGCGGGGTCAAAGAAGGAGCCGCACCCCAGACTGGCGAGTGCGGCGGGACTCCCGTGCCCCTCGTCGGTGTGTTGGGAGGGAGCCCTCCACGACCAACTTCGGCACCGGGTGGCACAAGGGCCCTTCGCAAAACACCGTCTGCAGCAACCTGATCCTCCCGAGCCCAGGCCGCAAAGAGCTGGTCCACATCCGCGTCGGCAGCCATTTCCACATCGTAGCCACCCACCGCCAAGGACTGCTCGCTCACAAAGGCGGCCCGAAGGCCTTGTCTTGCGGCGTCTTGCGCGAGCTCTGCCTCCGCAATCTCTCGCTCCAGACGCTCCTGGTCCTTGGCATAGCGGAGCCGTTCTCGTTTGAGGGCCTCTTTGAGCTTCAGCTCGTAGTTCTTCATCTTCTCTCCTGCCTCCTGCTGGGCACCACGCAGACGTAGGACACGATTTTCCGCCTTGCGTGTAATGTTCAGAGCTGTCTGGATGGGCGCCGTGGTCGAAGCGCTGCCAGGTGCAGCCAAACTGCCATCTGCCGACGTGTTGGGTCGAGCAGGCCTGTCCGTAAGCCTGATCGAGGCATACGAGGGGAACTCCGGAACCTGCCCACGTAGCGCTTCCGGCCTCCAAGGTGGCCACTTCGCCTCCTTCTGGTCTTGAGGCGAGTAAGCACCCGGCCAGACACGGTAACCACCACCTGAGACCCAGGGCTGGGCCTGATTCTTTCCACCACGTCCCATGCTTGAAAGCCGTGACTGCAACGAGGCGTTCGCCGAGTGGTGCTCCACGAGCAGTTGAGCTTGCAGCCGTGTTGGAGGGACTCCCTTGCGGAGTCTGGAGCGCCCACGCGCTCGTAAAGTCCTCTTCGGCCTATGCCACGCGGGGGACCGCTTGCCGATTTCGGCAGAGCTAAGCGAACCCGTTGTGGGTTCTGGGGCCGCAATTTTCCGGGCTTCCCGGCGATTTGAGCCCTATATATATATATATACATACATACATACATACATACATACATACATATATATATCTCTCTCTCTCTCTCTCGCCCTCTCTCTCTCTCTCTCTGTGTCTCTCTCTCTCTCTCTCTGTCTCTCTCCATGTCACTCTTTGCTCTCGCACTCTGT